CGCACGCCCCCTGCCATATTTTTAAACTGGCAAAGATAACGAATGGTCTAGATGAGAGGTCCTTTCAGGTCAAGAAGTTTTTGAGAACTTTACTTAACCAGCCCAGCTGAGGGGCTGGAGAACAGGCTGGAGCACAGGCTCCCAACAGCTGCCGTTCTAAGCTTGGCACTTTCTGCAGTTGCAGAGGCTTAAGTCATCACTTTGTTTTCAAAGGGAGTTTAGCCACCAAGGCACAAACAGCCTGGGAAGTTGCTTTCATACCTGGAAATTGATTGGAAATGGCAAATTAGGATTGTTGTCAAGTGGCTGTCTGAAAAGCAGCTGGACATCCCATCTTGTTGGCTTCACTACCAGGATTCCTTGCCATTCCTTTTTCTTTTGGGCATTCCGTGCTTTGCCTCACTAGGATGGGCACTGGCAGTTTGTGAGGAGCCAAAGAACTGTGCTGGCTCCTACCAGGAAGGATCAGTACCATGAGTGTGCATATTTAACAGAGAAAGATCAATCCTGGCAGGCATGGCAAGAAGCTGAGGCCTGTCCATCCATCCGTGCAAAGGCACGAGGTTTATATATGATAATGGATGAAGAGGAGCTGATCCTTAGGTTGATATAAGAGACAACATATTCAGAGCTGTACCCTTGAGTGCTTCATATTACTTGAGGGCATCTCTGATCAATAGCTGCACTTCCCCTTGCCCTCTGGCTGACAAATCCCCCCTTCTTTCCTGGAGGCAGGCTGCTTGCTCTGTTTGCCACTGTTTTTATTTCAGCCCTTGCTTTGGTGTCTAAGGCTTGCGTGTGTGTGTCTAAACTGTTTCCTTTGTTATTTCTATTCCATGCTGCAGTACTTCCCCGTGAGCCTGCAGGTAACTGCTTTTCTCCCAATTAATAATTCTGCTAATGGACTCTCCTCTTTATTTGCCTCTGCCTTCCAGCTGCTGACCCTTTTCCTTTCTTTTTATTACACTAAGTCCTTTGCACTTCTGTAGAGCTTCCCAGCCCAGGATCTCAAAGCATTTTGCAAATATTAATGAATGAAGCCTCATATCATCTCTGTGAGGTAGGTGTTATCCGCATTTGACACGTGAGGTTGGAAAAAAACAGTGTTTCAAAGGGAGAATAAACTGCAGACTGTATTTTGCACAGTTAAGCATAACTAGATGCTTGACCTCTCATTTACTACTTGCTGTGTAGAATAAAAGGTCTATAGAGAGGCTACCCACCTGTTTCATTCATTGACCCCATCTAAAAATGCATGTTGACATTGTTTGATGGTATAGGAAACATAAAATTTCACAGATGTTGACTAAAGCAGTGTTGCTATATGAACCAGGATAACAAAAAAAAAGATGCAGCTCTTTGGCACTTTTTGGCTGTCACCTGGATAGGTGAGAAGAATTCATCTAGTTTAAAAGAGCCTCCACAGGAATAAATGTTTGAATCCAATCACCTGAACATGCCAGTGGTTTATGATGATGCTTTCAGAAATTCTGTACTTGCAAAAATCAGACTTCATCTCTCTGTCACTGTTATCAAGAAAGGCCTTGCAGTACTTTTGCAATCGCACACTTAATTCCCTGCTGTGGCATCCTTTTTGATGCCAATACAAGAGCTGTTCAGACTACATGGCTTCAGTCCAGCATGCCCAGGGCTCTGATTTCTTCCTGCTCCTGGACAGAATGATTTGGTTTTTAGTATTTTATCACATGTTTCAGAGGGAGAAGACTGCACGTGGTCTTATGGGCATATTCATATTTAAGCAGGCACAGTTTTGTATTCTCTTTTGATGCAGTCATGTCTTGGCAATCTTACATACTCCAAGTGAGGATCCATATATTGATGTGTAGCGCAGGCTGAAACTTGGTCCTGAAATGCCTCCTTCCAGTTATTAAAATGGAGACATCTCATCTGTAATCAATTGGAAATAAGCCTGTCCAGTTGAACATTGGAGGATTATCTTGAAGGAAACTGTAGCTTCCACTAGGTTCTCTGCTGTTCTCTTGGAGCAAAGGCAGTGAAACGTGTGCAGGGCTCTGGGTTGCTCTGAGGGTTGAGTTTGCCTGGTGATTTTATCCCACTTATCTCTTCCATTCAGCTGAGCATGGAGCTGAAGGAAAATTTGAAGAACACCATGACCCAGAAGTACCGGAAGGAGGGAGAAGAGAGTGTTACCAGCGCAGTAGACAAACTGCAGCAGGAGGTAGGTATCTCTGGAGGCAGGGAGAATTGATACAATTGCAGGGCTTAAAATCAGACACACAAAAGGCACTGTCGGCTCTTGACATCCAACATGCAGATGTTTCTTCTGTATGTCGAGTGTATGTTCTGCTGCTTCTGATTCAAGACAAGGTTGGGTGGGGTGCAGGTCCTAGGCCATGCAACTAGCCGAATTGCATGGTGTGATCTCTGAATTGCATGCCCAATAGCACTGGGGAAACAACATTTCCAGAGTGAACTTGAGCTGCCGAGTCACTCTGACAGCTGGTTCTATTTCCCACTTCAAAGCTTTGGAGAAATTGCCGACATTTTTCATTAAGCTCCTCAGTACCCTAGAGAGCAAGATGTAATGAAAGAAGAGCCTTCCTGCCGCTGTTGCTAGCTGTGCCTGGATCAGGGGTGGTTCAGGTTAGGGCTGCTGCAGTTCTGACAGGCTTTCCCACAGAAAGGACCCTTGTGCACAGGCACTTTCAAAGCATGGGGCCCCCTATACACATCCTGCTATAGCAGGTGCATTTGTCATGGTAACTGGTAATTAAACTTACCTTGTTACTGCCAGTAATGCTCTCCAGTCCGGTGGTTAAGAGCTGAGCCAGCTGCAGGTGCTGTCTGGTTACAGTTCATCCTAGCAGCAACCAAAATTCACAGCTACTGGAAGATGGATGAAGCTGATATTTAATGGCCCTTTTGGGGACTCTTAACAGAAAAGTTGCTAATAATTAAAGTAGCCTAAAAAAAAAAAAAAGCCCATGAGATAGCTGGAGATAGCTGGAGTCTCTCTGCAAAGGAGGGTGAGGCTCAGGGCTTGGTGTGGGAGGCTGGAGGGAGAAGGAGGTTGCAGTGCTTGCAGGCTCAGCCTTTGCTCTTGTGTGCATGCAGTTCAAGTGCTGTGGGAGCAACAACTACACTGACTGGGCTGACAGCCTGTGGATCAAATCTCCAGAGGCCAATGGACGGAAAGTCCCAGACAGCTGCTGTAAGACAATAACTGACCTGTGTGGCCGAAGAGACCATCCTTCCAACATCTACAAGGAGGTAAAGAGCAAAATGGCTTCAGAGCCACCTGTCACAAAGTATGTAAAGGAGGTGTGCAGGGTGTGAGGGTGTTGTGTTGATGCTGCAAACTGTCAGTAGGCTTCAAAGTCAGTAGGATTCCTTAGAAAGCAGAATTCATTTCTCTAACTGAGCATTCAGCCATCTAGGCTATTATTTTATACATAGATCTAGAGAAAAAGAATAAATCATAATTGTTACTACAAAGTATGCTAGTGATAGGGAGAAGTGGGAGAGGTGATTCGTTCTGGCAAGAGATTTGGATATGAGCCCTGCATTTGACAAAGCTTCCTGTCCTTGGAATTACTCAGTGAGGTGCAAATGGAAATACTTCTGGTCCTGGACTGAGACAGTGGGATTTGACCTACAGCATGAAGAAACAGCATGTAGGGAAGAAAGAGGGCCTTATAGCAGACAAATTAGGCCAGTTCCAATGGACTGCAATTTGGGCTGAATAGAAGGCTGGAGTTGAGATAGAGGAGCTTGTCTCATTTCTAGATGTAGCAAATTTGAATCCCAGACTAGCTGAGTAAGTAAATAGGTAGCTCTCAGACCATTTATTCACCCAGTTTGCATAAGGCTGGCAAAAGTTCTTGCATTTATTTTGGCACACTCCAGTCCTGTCACCTGGCTTTAACTTGCTCACTGTGACACTTTCTGTGGGGTAGCATAGTCCTTTTGCTCACTGGTGGAACCAGAACCTTAGCTGCCTGCACTGAGCCTGGGGAGCAGCAACTATAGCTTTTTCCTTGTTCCTGTCCCCCTGACAGTTAAGGAGGGCTGTGGATGAAGAGGTGGCCCCTTGAAAGTGGGTATTTCTTCTCAGTTTGTGCTTTGAGCAGGACTCAGGAGTGTGAATAATGTCTGCCATTAAGCCAAGCAGCTCCAGCAGCTAAAAGGAAACCAGCTCTCTGTCTTTGGGGAATTAATAGATCTTTCTGATCTACCGAAGCCCCTCGAATGTCCAGCTGCTTGGCTGGGTTTCCCCTGTTTGGGGGGCAGGGCTGGCAATTCCCATCCTCTCTCTGTGCTGCATGAAGCTGGAGGCGGCTGCCCAGCCACGTTATTAAGAGAGGCCCTGTAGGCTGCCAAATATATTGGGCTAGTTCTAAAGGAGAAAAAGCTGTAAGGGGAGGTTTGGATCTACAGTCAGATGCTGTGTATCATGATATGAGGTCTCAATCAGAGTTTGGGAAAGATTTTAGTGGCTTTGGGGAAGAAAAACCTAGAAAAGGGTCAACTCAGGGAACAGGAGTAACTGCTTCATACCAGGGCAGCTGGGGCTGACCCTAAAGCCTAATGCTGGCATGGGAAAAGTGAGGCCTTGGCCATCCCTCCCTGGAGGGCTGCGTGCTCACCCCTTCCCTCTGCCTGCATGCATGTAGGTGTCTGTGTTCAGTGTAAACTCCTGGGGCGGGAGGGCCCCCAGCACCCTTGGGGCACTGCTGTAGCCTACACAATAAATTCCCCTGATGTTACCATGGAAAACTTGCCTCAATAGATTAAACAGTTTAATTATTTAAAGGAAACTCTTCCTGAAAAAAAAACCCCACCAGAGAATGCTCTTACTGATTTATTTTTGGCTTATGACAACAAAAACTTGGGCCTGAAACAACAGGGAGGGGAAGGCCATGCTGCCAGCCAAGGATGCAGTTGCAAGGCAGAGGCAGGCAGAGCCTGGCTTTCCAGGTTCACACTGAAACTCATTGCTGTCATAAATAGCAGTGGGAGGATTTTACTCTTTAAAAGGCTTCTGTCATGTTTGAGGTCTTGGTACTCGATCCACTCAACAGCATTTCCTTGGCCTTTTGGCCTGATGGGAGTAAACACCCTCTCCAGGCATGTAGTAGGCAATGAGTGAAGGAACCTTTAAACTCCACATATCTCAGCGAAAAATTACACACTCCCATCTGTGTGATGTGGCCGGTTCTTCTGCATTTCTCCTGTACAGCTAGCAGCCACCTTGGGTTTGTTCAACAGTTCCTGAGCCAGTAGGTCCAGAGCAATACAACACATGATGCAGTTTACATTCTCTGTGTAGCTTTTCCTGTGATGCCAGGTGAAGAGGTTGCTTACAGATACTGCTTTTTGTAATGTTGCTTTCAAGGGTCGCAACCATTGGATTAAAGTGAACAAGAGGTTAAAATGAAACTGATTTTCTGTGTCCCTCCTTTCACCCTGCAGAGCGGCTGCATTACCAAGCTGGAAAACTTCATTCAAGAGCATCTGAAAATTATCGGGGCAGTGGGGATCAGCATTGCTTGTGTGCAGGTAAAAGGGCTGAGTGGAGTTTTGGGGGTGCTGGGCAGAACTTAAAGGAACCCGAGAGCTGAGGGATGAAAAAAATCAAAAGTTTTAGGCTCTTCCCTGCCTGGCAAGGAGAAGTTGCTAGGTACTTCGGGGACGCGAGGATTCACTAGCTCCAAAGCAAAAGCCTCTTCTGCCAGTCTGTAAAATTTGCTTCTGGTGAAGGAGTGCTGTCATAAATAGCGAGCTGGGCAAGGGGGAGAGACTTCCCTGCTCCAGAGCTGTGGGAAAGGCAGTGCTGGCCATGGCAGGCAGTTTGGCAGCCTGAGAGAGACCTCTTGTGGGGATGTGCCGTGGTTGCCCACGCAGCTGAGGAGCTGGGCTGGAGGAGTTTCCTATGCCGGTTCATTAGGATTATTTTAAATCATGCAGTTTCTCCCTCGGTTGTGTCATATTGAGGAATGGCACTGTGGGTCTGCAAATGATTTGGAAGAGGGTGATGAATAAAGGGGTAGGATGTGGATGCCCCCCACTCCCATTTTAGAGGGGAGGGCACAGGGCAGGCATTTCTTCCAGATGGAGATGTCTCTGGGAGTCCCTCATCTTGCCCTTTATCCTGGCAAGCAGCCAAATTACACCCCAGAGAAGGTGCTGGTGATTAATTAGGAGGATTAGCCCAGATTATATTCTTTCCAGCTGCTTATTGCAAACTGGAGTGCCGTATCCCCAGGAAGGAGCTAGCTGCCACTCCAGTCTAGGTCCAGGCTGTTAGTTTGCAAGCTGCTGCCTCCACTGCATCCGTCTGTTTTTTCATGCATTTCTCTCTTCTCTTTACACCCTGTAGATCTTTGGGATGATTTTCACCTGCTGCTTGTACAAGAGTTTAAAGCCAGAACCATATTAATAGCTGTGGGAACTCTGTCGCTCCCCTTCTGCCACTTCCCTTAGCGCCTGCCAACCTGACCACTATCCACCACCACCACAGAAGTGTCTGTAACCTGAGGACTTGGCTCTGTAATTAAATGCCTCTCAAACCATGCACCGCCTTCCTGCCCCTTTAGGGGAAAGCCACCCTCCTTGTTG